GAGGGAGCGAGGCGCCGCCGCCGAGGAAGGCCTGGCCGAAGACATCCTGCTGCCTCAGCGAGCTCCGGGGCTCTTACCAAGGAGAGCAGGCCTTGAGCCTGGCTCTGGGACAGGCATCCCGGCTTCTACAGCGTAACAAACATCATAAAGGCCTGGGACAATTTTCTGGTCATGAGTGAGCTCTGACGGCTACAGTCGTGGCACCCCAAGAATGTCTTTTACTCTCAACGTGCAGCATCAACACACCTACAGCCATGGTACCGGTGAGATGTGGAGAAAGGGAACAGTTCTACAAACGGCCTGAACTGGTTGTAGCAATATTTACCCTTGAGGGTGCCAATGGTTAAACGACTGTAGCAAAATACAGAGGGGTGGGGAGGAGGAAAGGTTGTCTTCAAACCTGACAGTTAAACTGCATCCATTAATTTAGGCATTTTTAATACTTATAAACGCTTTGAAGCAACGTACAGTGCAAATAAAAGCCTTTTTTGTATCACCCAGTGTTGATCCATTCCTCTTTTTGCCATTTCATACAACAGCAGTGAAAATACTGGGATCTGGCACAGTTACTGAAAACCCTGACAGAAACATGCAGCGAAACGCTACATTCCGTACCGCTAAGCTACAGCTAATAAAAGTATCAATGAAACACGGTGATTGGCACACGCCAACCACTTGCTCTGATGTATTTTTTCCCTGACATTGAAGAGGTAAATCGGGTCGTAGCTCTGGGACTGCGGAAGACAAGGGAACCCTTTGCGCCAGCACGTTTCACGCCGCCGTCCCATCACTTACCAGCAAAGCCTCTCCCCCTGCCCTGAGGTGGTGGGACTGGCCCAAAGTGTCGAGGATACATAGAAGCTGGATAGAAAGGCATGGCAGGTGGAGGCGGGAAAGGGAGAGGATGGTTCTGCCTGGAGAAATTTAATCCTTCTAGGATGCTCTGACGCATCTTTTCAACCTTGGCTGCCTGCTCAGCCTGCAAATAAAGAGAAGGTCACAAAGAGAGGTTAAGATCCTGATTTCAATGGTGTAAGGCTACATTCGCACGACAAATTCAAAGCAGAAAGCGAAATAACGGAAGAGTAGATAACTAGTGCAAACAACATCCACAGAGCAAGCTAGAAAATGACAATCATCTGCCTCGCACACCTACTAATAGTTCAGTGATATTCGAATTGTTCACAGCGGTAGAGAGAAGTCTAAATACTGGGATAGTTTTACAAGTTGGTAACACAGAAGGAGTTTTCAAGTTAAAAGAGGTTTCCCAGAGAGGACCAGAGAAACCTCTCTGTCTCCAGTCTCCTGAACGCTCAGTGCAGCCCGTTGCTTTCAGCTGAATAATCATCATAACCCTGGACTGCAAAACAAAGTTCAAGTAAACAGGCGAAAGCCTGAGTTCGAAATAAGAAGAGGTAAAGCTGTTCTAGTTAAAAGAGTTCATGCACCCCAAGAAGTGAAAAAGAATTTTTTAAAAAAATATTAATTTGGCCGTTCTGTCAACTGTTATTTTTGATCAGTTTCCTGTTTTTACAGTTAAGAGAATAACTTTGCATCCTTCGGATGCACCAAAAAAGTAATCCCTTTTTATTTTAAGATGGTCATAAGGAATGTGGAAATAGCTTAAGGACCAGGAGAATTACTTCAGCCTGTCAAATAACACAGAAATCACATCTTCTTTCACTGTAAAACCATTGCAGCTTAGTCCTTTGTGACAAGTCTTGTGAGCTTGACCCCAAAAGACAGTAATTGCACAAACGAGTAGAGGCAGTTTTCAACTCAGTTTCCGTTTCCGGTGAGAAAGAAAAAAAAAAATATTAAAATTTATGCTGGTTTACTTCTTTCAAATCTACCAAGAAGCCACCTCAATATCCAACACGAGATAGGGGGGAGTTGAAAAAATACCTATTAGCCATTCACCTCGTGCTTTTAAAAGTAGAGAGATGATATATGTGAAGCAAATGAGCAATAAACCGACCACACCTAACGCTTCCGAAAACCCGGCGTGCTCGATTTTTCGTGCCACGCTTCCGAAACTACGCACCTGACCATCACAGAGGTCAATGAGCGGAACTTTCTCCCGGCTTGCTTTGATGAGCTTGGTCTGGAATAACTTTCCATCGAAATACATCCACGGACAGCAGTGCTCCCATGGAATTGGCTGCCCGCAAGCGTCGTTTGCAAAAAGCGCCATATCGACACCACTCATAAATAAAGCGGACAGCTGAATTCCTCGGGGATCGAGATTCTCAATCTGGTTTTTAGGGGGGGAAAAAAAAAAGAAGTGTAAGTTTAGCAAGATAATAATGAGACAGATTTCAAAGTTATTCTAACGGTTACATTGCTTTTTGGAAACAGAGCGATTTTAAAAGGTCATCCAGCCTTTTTGCACCAAACTGCCAGTTTGATGAGAACGCAGCAGAACCTGGATGTACCAAACTGCAGCCCTCAGGAATGTCCCCGTCCATCCACTCGAGAGGTAAGAGATAAAACCAAACCCCTCTTATTTTCTCAACGACCAAGCACAGGAAAAGATTGCTAACCAGTCACTTGATTCATCACCAAGAAGTCAGTAAAAAGTTTGAAATAAAATGAGCTTTCATTTGTGACATGCGGGCTCTCGACCGCCCAAGGTATGCTAAGGCCAGCGATGAAGAGGCAGCGCAGAGCGTTTCAAACAATGCGAAAGCATGTTACAGCACAGAAAAGTTTTAAAAGTCACAGAAAATTAGCAGTAAGAAAAGGCATTAAAAATTTACTACAAGTAATTTTCTGCTTCTGTAAAAAGTTTCAGGAAGGAGCTCACTGTAAGAATTCAGTTTTTCTTCCCACGTATTACATTTCCTTTCCAACTGCTTTCTAACAGATTTTCTATTAGCTCGATTCGAGATTTTGCTGTTGGAAGTAATGAAGTGATGTTTATGCATACAACAGCTTTATTTAGGATGCAGGAACAGATGCACACAGGTAGAATTAAACAGTGAATAATGGCGGTGGAAGCAAAAAGGATTTGCTTGCAGCAAACGTATTTTTAGCTCTGGCATATGAAAACATCGCTACTGGTGTTCTCTAAAATACTTCTGAAAATATCAGCCCTTTCTTGGGAACATTTTCAAGACCTTGGTATTAAATTTTGAAATTAAACTATGTTACCTTCCTTACGCATAAGCAACCTTTACGATCCAAAAGACTCTGCCGATCGTTTTGCAGATATGCAGCTGGGTTCAACCTCAGCTGCTCTTTCTGTCTGACTTCAACAAAAACGAGAAGCAGCTGCGTCACGCGAGGACAGTAACAACACCGCATGAAATATTGCATCTTTCAGTTGAACCAACATATTTAATGGAAACGATCCATATTACTCATATTTAAAAAAAAAAAACAACTTGGAGAACAGTTTCTCCTAAATGAAAACGCTGTATGCTATTCATCACTTGTCTCTGCCTCTCATTTGGTGTTGGAATGGAAAAAAGTATTTTCTCTGAGAATCCCTTTCTTAGATCTTCAAGAACAGCAATTTTCCTAGTGGGGTTTCCTCCTCTTTGCGTCAAATCTTAGAGCAGAGGCAAGGCTTTGGTAACTCTTAGAGATACTTTTGCCAAAATCTCTGCCCCTAGATGTTGTTTACTGTGTTGTGTTTTGAAAAAGGACTTCAAAGTGGCTGACACACTGCTCATCTTTGCTGCACCCAGCCTTGCCTACAAAAAAATCTACATTTCCACCAATACCCAGAGGTAGAACTACTCAGCGTCACAGGAGCTCGGGGTAGGTATCTTGAACTACAATCTCACGAGATTTCAAGTGGCTCTCTGCTACACTCTGCCGAGCCCAACGTTTGTCAGCTCGCATGAGCTACGTGAATTCCTTCTGCACCCACACAGTAACTCGCTGTCAGCTCACGGCCTTGGCAGAGTGTGGCCACGCGCTTCCCTGAGGACAAAGTACTGCTCTTCCTACAGCGCACACAGCCGTCAGCTTCCCCGGCCCAGAATTTCGGAGGGTTCTGAAAGACCCAGCAGTCACACGGGGCTTCCAGCATGAACACCCACTAAACACCCTGAAAAGGAGTTCCAGCAAACACCTGAGCGATTCTCCTGAGGGAGAGGACCCACGTTTGGGCTGCTCTTAAGAAATCAGCCACAGTGAGGAGCACTCGGCAATGCCGTTCTCGGGACTCTTAATGCACCTATAATCCATGTCAGCAGCAAGCCAGTCCCAAGTGCTGAGGCCAACAAGCAGCCTCGCGTGAACTCATCAGGTGCTCGTCACGGCCGTCTTCATCCCGTGTTTCCTCACAGGGTGAGGGAAAGGCCAACCGAATGTCTTCCTGTTGGGACTTTATTGTGTATTTATTTATTACTTTTGCTGCCAGCATTCATTCTTTGGGCTGCGGGGAAGTGGATTTTGTTCTTCTGTTAACTCCGCCACCACTGTCACGGAGCCGTGAATTCTCTATTTGCTGCGCGGCGAGTTCAAATCGGTTCTGAAGTGCATCTGGTTGTTTTCTTCCCCTGAACATTTATGAGTCCCTCTGTGGTTAAGTGCTGGGTTTCCACGAGTGGACTGATCTGGTTTATCCTTCGAGATGAACAAGTCCTGGCCAGGGTGCCACATGCAGGAATGCAACGCAGATTCTGCTCATCACCCACAGAGGAGAAAACAGTCACGCCCTGGCTTTGAGACTGCTCTTACATACTTGGTATTGGGGGCAGAGCATTCCTTAGAAAAACCTAGAAAGTCTGAGATCCTAACTTTTAAAATCCTCAAAATAATTATTTCTACAATTCTGTGAGGATTAGCAAACCGTTTTCCCCTTTTTTCTCTCCTGCTTTCCATTCAAAATGAGGCAAGCCCTTTTCTAGACTTGGCCACGTACATCTTTTGAATGCTGAATCACGAAAAAATACTCAGGTTAGTACTTAAGAACAATCACATGTGGAAGAAGTCTTTTTCTTTTTTTTTTTTAAAAAAAAATCTTTTCCATGGGAAGTACATTTGCTTCAAACTTCCAAGAGACGATTACTTCAGAAACTGTGAGAAAAGGCTGCACAGTGTGTTTTACATACGCTTATGATTTTAGTTACTATCCAACTAGAGAAACAGAACCTATTATCTATCTTTGCCACACCTGAAAATACTAAGATTACTATTCTGAACAGCATGGGCAACGATGCAAGGCTTTCAGGGGGACAGGCACGTACCCATCACCCGCTACTGTTAACAATATGGCTCAGGAGGGAATAAATCTCTTGAATTATCACCATTAGAGGAAAGAATTACCTTGAGTTCCTGCAGCTGGTCAGGTTCATAGAGCTTTGGAGACAACGCTTGGGCAAGAAAAGCATCAAGTTCCTGGCGACGAAGTATACGAACCCCCGGCCACTGTACCATATACCTGCGGAGGAAGCCCACGGTTATTCAGAAAATTCCTTTAACAGGTAAATCAAGTGGTATTTTCTGCAATTAGAAGTCACTGGAATGCAAAACAAAAAAAAAATAAATATTTTTTGTTGTTGTCCAGACTTGAATAATTAAAAAGGCCAAAATGCTCAATATATTTCAAGTTTCTATGTGTTTAAATTCACAAGGAAGAGCTATCGGCTGCGAATCAGCTGTGCAAACCCCGCTCCCATCAAAGAAGCCACCAAAATAGAATTTAAAATATAAATGGATTCTGATCCATCAAAAATCAAAATAAAGATCAATTGCATTTATAAAAAAGGACTTTGTGAACATGTTTTCCTGGTAACACATTACTGAAATTATCTAGTGGGTGAATTTTATGCACATCATGTCTTAATGGACAACAATTTATATATGTGCCACATGTGCCAGGAGAGAAATCTGCTGTCCAAATGAAATGAGGAGCTCTGCTTTAAGACATCTTTTTTTTTATTTTTGCACACTTACTATTGTACAAAGAGAAAAAGCTCGGAGTTTTAGTGTACAAATGGCAAGATGAAGTTCAACAGAAGCGAAGGCAAATTTACATCTATTGCTCGCAAAAACAGCTTAAAATTTTTCACGTGCAACACTGCTACTGCCAGATCTATAAGCTGGTCGGATCCAAATAACCGCTCCTTTCCAAAAAGGTGATTCCTCGGGCAATTTTCTACCCCAAAATGAAACAGCTAAGTATTTTTGCTTTTGGGACTTCGAAGTACAGAGTTAATACTTCAACTGCTGCTTGTCATCATCCCAACTAGGTGAGTGATTCTAACGTGGGGCATCTGACAGGTCAGGGACAGGCACCATCCCGGGGAACTCTGCAGCCTGACAAGCCCATCTCTGAAGAACTCCCTCTTTTCCTTTACAACTTCACCAGCACAGCCTCCAAATGTTGTTTTTCAGCAAGCTGAAGCCTAGAGCACAGTAAGGGTAAACTAATTCAAATGCTACAGTGGCCTTCAAGTTGAAGCCTAGAGCACAGTCAGGGTAAACTAATTCAAATGCTACAGTGGCCTCTTTGCAACACAGAGATTTTTTTTTCCTCCTCCTCTCTTTGGCCATCTAGAGACCCAAGAAAGAAACGCTGAATATCCAAGGATGCAAAACGAACACCTTCTCCCAGTGACACTGCAAAACTCAATCGACCCTTTCTACGCCCCTGGTTTCATTCAAAGTTCTTAAAGCAACGCTGACCTTAGCACACAGCAGAGCACCATAAGATGTGTGGGCACATTAGTTGGATTGAGCATTGCTGGTGTGTCTGATCTCATGCAGGCCAGAAACGCCCTCATCCTTCGGTTCTTGTCCTCGACCGCTTTTCCCAGCCACAGCTTCTTCAGATTGGGACAGGTCCATTCCCTGAAGGCGAGTGCTTCCACCAGCTCAGGGGTTTGAGGAGATTTACCTTTGTAAGCGGCCCATTCTTTAATTATCACTGGCGAAACTGCAAAAGGGTGAGTGGAGAGAAAACACGTCAAGTTAAAAAGCGGCGTGGGTTTTAAACTGCCTGTGCAAGAGATTTTGATGCGAAAACGCATCGCTTGGAGACCGCGGCAGATACCAACGTTGTGGATCACGCTGCCAAACCGGTGATCCCAACTCTGTGTGAAGCTTCTCTCGGTTGTGATCGCTTAGAAATGAACTGCGCGCAACCAAACGTACGCTTGGAATGTTTCCTTAGTGTTTCCAAATTCATATACAATATAACAGAACTACATATTTCTAAAATAAACGGCGTAATTGGAAAATGCTACTTTCCCTTAAAATACCTGTGTTATCGACCAAACCCCGAGAGTGACAAATAAATCCAATAAATAAATGCAAATACATTCCATATGTGGTCTTTTACAAACAATACGATCCTAGTAATTATTATTTAAAACTTAAGACTTTTTTTGTACTTGTTCAACTACTGCGGTGGAATGGGATCTTAAATATGGGTGGGCTTGGGCTTTGGGTTTTTTTGTCCTAAAACTTTTACCAAATACTACTTTACATAAGCTTGTCAACTTACTGCATTGCTTTCTATTGAGAGGTCAGTATTTTTCTATCAAGAGGTTAGTATTTTTGTGTTTGTCCTTTCAACTAGATTGCTGCTCAATGACTTCCCTTTTTACATTCAAAGGCAACCAAAACAGAAGTTTGGGGTTTTTTTTAAAAAAAAAAAAAAAGAAAAAAGAACAGTCAAGACAGAGAAATGATACCTTTGGCCTTGGAATGACCCCAAGCTTGACACAGCTCAAAATTTGTTTGCACCCTCCTTAACTCAGTGCCCAGTTATGGGGTGTGGAAAGATTCAAGGAGCTTGTTAGCGAAGCTTCAGGTTACGGCCCGGCCAGATTCACTCGCGGGAGCACTGAGCCGCAATCTCTGCTACAAATCCTTCCCTCCCGCGCCGAGCAGAGAGCGCAGGGCAGCCCTGACAGCCACCCAGCCTCCTTCATCAACCAGACAGCAGCCTTACAAGCGATTTTATAGTTAGAGCTGGCTAAATCACGGCAGGGATGATGACTGAAATTAAAAATAAACCCCAAACCTCCAGACCATCCCAAAGCATTCTTGTGCTTTTCTGGAATAAAATCAGTCTAGCGCTATAGCTGTATTTAACAAAGCTCGGGGTGAGCTTGACAAGAACATGCAGCAATGAAAATAAATATTCCGATACATTTAGTTGGCAGCTTCGCTACAAAATCACGGACTATTTTGGCTGCTACGCTACTGGTTTTTAGGTGCCACCGAGCTGTTTAAGATGGGCTTTAACAGCCATTATTTGTGTGTTGTTTATCACACCAGGTTTCACTTCGTGTTTGGGCCTGGGACAGTAAACGTGACCAAGTAAGAGGATGGCTTTTATGCAAGCTTTCAAAGACTTGTTTCATTGCTTTAGGTCTCAGACTCAAGAGATACTTGGGGACCAGAATTTCTTAGCTCACCAGCAAACAGAGAGGAGACGTGATGAGGCTACTATGCAGAAGAGCTTAATCTGTTAGCAAGAAAAAAAATAAAACCAAGATCCCAAATTATTGACAACTGACATAAAATAGTTGTGTTTTGCAGTTCTTTTTCTCCTTCTCAGCTTCTACGACTCCTGTAACACCAAACAACAGCAAGGAAACAGACCTCTACAGACAAAAAAGGTTTCACTACTGCTTCTTTCACACGCAAGGACCTCAAGCTTAGAAGAAGGGACTATTTGATGTCTCTGTTTTCTACCTTTTCTATGTTTCAACACTCAAATTCGGTTCAAAGCTTTTAATCTGGGGGTGATAACTTCCGTGACCCTACGAGGTTAAGGCCACGGAACAAGTACCTCACTCTGCTCTCAGGAGAAGGCACGCTGGAGAGCAACCTTGGCTTCCACATTTTGCAAAGCAACAGTTATTACAGGAAAAGCAACTGTGCTTCTTGCAGAACCGTTCAATACGAAGGTGACTCTAGGGGGCCAGCAAACATCGGATGAAGAATTCCAGCTGTGTTGGTCCAAGCAACTGTAGCACCATTCGCATTTAAGGTAAGGGATGAATCAAGGACTTGTCCACATCCACTTGTTTCTCCAGGGCATTTCTTCCACCTTTGACAACTCGATACTGGGACTGCTGCCAAAACCCATGGTCTTCCTCAGCTGCTGAGGATCTCTCCTCAGAGAACCATTCTGTGTTCTCCTCCCAGGACGTCCACTTGGAGATGAGCAACGTCTACCCTGAAGACTATCTCAGCTACAATGAACACTCGGGATCAGAGTGTGCTCAGCCGCAGCATCGCGGTGCTGATTACGCTGATTTTCGTACTAAAATTTCCTTGTGCTGCCAATCGGCAGATTTGAGACCTGAAGCAGCCTAACCAAAAGCAGCATATCTTGACGTGTGCTTTGAGCAGTACCCTCCAACATTTTAAGGTCAATCCAAGCTGAAATTAAAGGATGTCTGAACCAATAAGAGATGTTTTTAGGCCATGTCCATGCTGAGGAACAACCTGACCATTAGGCAGAGGCTAAACCCAGCAGTCAGTAGCGGGTACAGCTACAAAAATGCTAATCGCACGTGGAGGTGGAGGCACTCTGGAGCACCCTGTGACTGAGAAGCCTCAGATCCCACCTGTCCTGCCTCCACTCCAGGTCCACTCAAGTGCAACTATTCCTAGATGATCCAAAGACAGGTATTTACCTTTTCCTGTATTTTTGCCCTCTGAGAAGCTGTATGTCTATCTAGCCCACCCACAACCGAATTCCTAGACCCCATGCTTTCTCTAGCTGCATCCTTCCATCCAGAACAACAAAACTTTCTGTGCTGCCCCCACAAACATTCCTCCAAGCCAAAACAAACACTCTCCAAGCCCTTCATATTCAGCTCCTGCAACCAGATTTTACAGCCAGGGAAAAAGAACATGGATCTCAGTCAGTTGAGCGTGGTGCTGATAAGCAAGGTTGTGGGTTCGATCCCCGTTTGGTCCCCATGTGTTGCCTGATCTAGTTGAGAGGTGTCCCTGCCCATGACAGGGAGGATGGATTAAATGATCTCTAAGGTCCCTTCCAGCCTAGGCCAGTCTAGGATTCTGTGATTCTATGAAAGGGTCGGAGTCAATCCACACGAGGGTTGATAAACATGTGAACACTTGTTTATCTTGCTTGATAAATATGTGAACATGGCTACAGGCTCTGAAGTCATCAGAGAAGAGCAACCTGCACGCCCAGGCTGTCTGCCGGAGCCTCGGCTGCCAAGCACAGTTCAGGTGGGTTTGATATTCTCTTGGCATTTTTTCCATGAGCTCAACGTAGAGGCGTGAGGTACCCAGCACCAGGGGAAGATGAGCCAGCTAATGCAGATTAACCAAGCCTCACTTTTAACCTTCTAATCTTCACTGACAGCACAGCTTGAGCTAAGCATGCTTGATTTTGCAGGAGGGCAACTGCCCGAGACACGGCTTTCCTTTCGGCAGAAGCGTCATCGGCTGAATACATCCTTGACGGAGAACGGCTCATCACAAGGCTTAAAATAACAAACCTTTGGAACCAACCAGGAGTTACGACAGCTTGTACAAGCGTGCATTTTTCCACCGAGTGGAAAGGGCAGATGGTTTCATTTTCACATACGTATATGGGAAATAACCCGTTTCAGAGCTTGAAAAGCAGAGCAAGGCAGACGCTCGGCTTCCGTCTCCTCCAAAGGAAGGGCGGCACAGCCACGGCTCTGCCCTTGGCAGCACAAGCACAGTCGAGAACTTTATGATTTAGCTTTTCACATCCTCGGGCAGCAGACAGGAGGACACGTAGGGCAAGACAATTGTCACTGAAGAATCCCACCGACCACCTCTTGCAACAGATCTGTTGGGCTTTTACTGGCTTTTCAACTAAATAAAATAATGATTTCAAAAACAGGAAGTCGACCATTTTATGAAAGATTCATTAGCCTGCTGTCTGTATATTGAGTCATAATGCTGACACGTCAGTTTATTACGTGTTTCTCATAGTCTCCTGTAACTCTCGCATGCGATACGCTTACAAATTCTTCACGCACAATTATTATGTTACCAGCATTATGGTTTGTACAACAAAGTTGGCAGCATTTTAGATATTAATAGATACGTTACTCCGCTACATAGATCTTAAAGACAACACATATTTCTTTAGAAATTAATTTCTTAAATCTCTTAACACCTCTTCATTCTTAAATTTTCTCTTAAGTACTCTGTTTCACAACTTAGTCGTTTTTTGAGAGCAGGAAAAGAATTAAGAGAATCAGCATGGCTAGTTCGTTATAGCCTGCATCCTCACAGAAGTCAGCACGGGCTAACGAGCACGACTAATCAATCCCAGAAATCTGATCTTGCCCCTTCAGACACTATTCTCTCTTTGCATCGTGCACCGGCTGCCCAAGTCTTGCTGCCTTCTAAGAGAGGGGACTTAAATAAACGTGTTTGTGTAACACAGCCCTTCCAAACCACATGCTTGCATCTTAGCTCAAATCTTTCTTTACTAGTGTTGCTAGCTCTGCAGCAACTAACTCTCGGGCAGACATTCAATTTTATTTTTTGTTGGTATTCTAAAAGCATGGTCAGTCCTAAGACAGAAGTAGGTCAATAGTTGAATGTGTCCTGCAGCAAAATTTGCCGGAGCTCTTGTTAACCGAACCAAGCAGTGTTTTTAGCCTCCATGGAGAATAAACCTCTGAGGAGCAATATAAATGAAGAAAAACCAGAGATTATATAGATTTCCCCAGCAGCCTACAGAGAACATGCCTGGTTTAGAAGATAAAAATATTCAGAAAACTGAAGCACTCAGCTACTTCATCATTACAAACGTTGTAGTACACTTTTAAGGACAGAAGTCTAATCAGGATAAACAAATACTGGAAATAGCAACACTATTTTAATCCTGAAATAACCTTGTAACCCGAAATACTACTACAGTGTGCGAGTTTAAGGAATAAAGAAGTTTGTGACTATGCGTGCTGAGGTATAATTCAAGCAGGGTAAGCATTAATTCCCATCAAGTAACTGACTGGGATAAAGTTTTTCAAACATCACTGGCAGATTATCATGTTTGTACGAACCTACAAAAACATTTCCCAATTAAAAATAAAGGGAATGAATGCAAAGTTTACAATTGATTTGTATTTTTAGCCTTTTACATATTAAGACTGTGAATGACGCTTTCGTACATTTTAAATATTGGATTCTTAAATTTAGTCTAGGAACAGTAGACTCCTGTATATAAATACTTGTGCTGCTGCCATTCACTTAATGCTTCAGCGTTCCTTTAACCTTTATCAGCTGCTACTGTAAAGTTCAATCATTTCCTTGTATGCCTTTCATTACAAGCAAAGCACACTAGAACAAGGAGGTTGAATTTATCAGAATGACAGTAATTCCTGGAAGCAGAAGACGTAAAAAGCCACCTTCCATATTAAGAGGAAGATTAACATTTATCTCTCTAAATTAGCAAAAAGATTTTGGGACAAGTCTGTTTGCAAAAGTGGGAGCTGCCTTCACCCACGTCTACCTTTACTGACATTACACCCGACTTCGAGAGATTTTAAACCAAGTTTTTATATGGCAATACCTGAAAGATATTGCAGATTTGCAGATTTCACTTAAGTCCATTAATCACGCGTTTGATAAGACAAGGTGAAGTCCCGATTTTGAAAGCAGGATGCAAATTTGCATGCATGGGCACCGAACAGAAGGTTCCCAGCATCAAGTTCAGCCATCTCCTTGGAAAACGACATCACGAACTGACGTGACCCGCTGCAAACCTGAGAGCAGCTCGAGCTCGTAATTTCAAAAATCCCAGAGCTTGCTTAGAAACGGTAACGCTGATAGTTCTTAGAATACTACAGTGAATAAACTTTCAAATTAACATCTTCTATTAGCCACGGAATCAGACAAGGCATAAATTCCTCCCGTGTTAGCTCCACCGATGAAATCTTAGCAACTATTCTCATTCCAATCACAGTACAAATGGATACGAAAACACAGGAAAGGGAAGAGAAATAAATAAAGAACAGATTCTACGGTACATACATTCTGGTGGAAGTCTGTTCTTTCTAAAAGCAAGTCTTTCAGTTTTCTTTCTGCTTTCTGCCAAACTAAACAGGACTCCGTAAACATACTGACGAACTGGCCTATAAAGGAGAGCAGCAGGAGGCAGGTCTTTGTTGGCTTCATCTTCTATAGAAACGGCAATTTTGATTTCACCCTTTGGCAGGAAAGAAAGGAGAAAAACAGGACACGTTACAGCGAACTGGAAGGATTCAGGTACACGCGGCCAGTCAATCCAGCTCTAATACAAACCTCATCTCTAGTTGAGAAAAACGTGATTCAGCAGTAACGTGGATCTTAGGTATGTGAAGGTAACACCAGAGGTAACACCCTACAATCTACTTCATGGATTTCAGATCCTCACCTACGGTCCTTATTGCCTTGAAGTAGATTTTTAAGATGAGTAAGTGGATGTGGACGATGCCGTACACCAAACGCATTCGCTGTGTGAGAAGCAGCACTAAGCGTTTTGAGTACTAAAGAGGAAAAAGATTCAAGCTGCCTTGTTCTGGCACTCATCCGTTTGCACTTAGAAGGAACGACAAACACGTTTTTGGAGACTAGATTAAGTCAAACACAGGTTGTGCCGGAGCACCACTGCTCTGGCTCCCTCCCGGTTGGACACCAAGCGGAGCTCAGCAGCTTCGGGACACACTGCAGCAGGTTGTCACTGCCTACTGCTGCCAGAAGCTCTCCTCAGACACACTGAGCAGGGTGCTAGGCTGTGTAAAAATGCTTGCTGCTTACCCAGGATCTGAAGGTTAGAATGTAAAATATCCAAACAGAGGCGGGGGGAAGCCATCAGCACTAAAAATCCAGCCAAATTGAAAATCAACAATAATGCAGAACATCGAGTTGGTCTATAATTACACTTCAGGATTATACAAAACGGATTTCTTCTAGCTGCTGCGCTTCGTTCTATCAGGGCTAGCTACCAGGGATGGGAAGGATCAGGCTGGGAGGGAAAATAATCGAACTACTTCTGACCACTGAAAATAGAAATGACTTGGCACAGCTGCCAAAGCACATACGCAGGAGTTTTTAGGTGGAAATGGACTCTATAGAAAAGCACACACATGTACATAAACACATATACATGCAGGCGTGTACACACACGTGTGGAAACACAAAAACATCGAGGTATATTCAGGAAAAATCATTGATTTTGTAAGCAAACACTTCTAACTGCGGTCATCTCATATTTATAGTGTACCAGACCAGATCAGGGGTTAGAACACAGGGAGGAAAAAACTCCAGCCTGTTAGAAGCACTAAAAATGAACCAAAACTCAAAAGCACTAAAAAGGGCGTAAATCAAGGACTCTCTTTAGACAGAAATGCAAGTGCAATTCACTGAGTCATTATTTCCAAAATCCTCATTTTTAAATGCCTACCTTGGTTAGGACATGAAAGATGTAGGGATACATTAACCCCTTCTTGTGCCTGTGCTCTGCCACTCTCAATACTTCAGGTGCTACAGGAGGTAATGGAGGGGTGGTAATATCCATGTGGTTTCTGGTGGGCATTGACAAGAGGCATGGGATTTGCGGATTACTGGTTTGATTCCCTTTGACATCAGCTGCCTGACTTCCTGAAGAAGCGCTGGAGGAACCTTCTGCCTGTAACACAACGTACAAAAGAAAAGGGGTTTGAACATACCAGGAGAGGAGCCAAGAGAAATGGCAAATTTCCTTCTTTACTTTCACAAGTAAATCTTCACAATGTGATGTATCAGTTTTCCAGACAACGCAAACTTTCAGGCATTATTTGCTAGCAGAAGCAACTTACTGAAAATATAAACACCACGCTAAAGCTTTAACTTAACAGCAACAGTAATTATTATTTGATTTTTAATTGCACAATACAGAAGGGAGGGCTGATGACCTCTTAATGAAATGTGGCCTCTTATCTATGTATTTTCAGGATATTCCCAACTAAGAGGGTTAACTGACAGTCATAAGGTCTGTAATTTATCTAGACTTCCAGTAACGCATCCCTTTTCGGTTTTCATTTCTAGGTGAAGCAGGAAAAACTACACAATTCAACTTAAAGACATTTAAAATGTGCAGTGTCTGAGCTCAAAAGCCTTGTAAACGTTTGGAGATTTTTAAACTTTTGTCTGAAAATTGTCAGAGAAAATGGCAACCTTTATTTGATTGCAAGTTTGAAGCAGAATTTTATTCCGCTTCTAGAAATGCAGTCCATAAATTTTATAGGAAAAATGGGATGCGTAACAATATACTGTAAACCACCTGATGAATAAGCCCTTGGCAAGTACTTATGTTGAATTTCTCACAGATACTCCCCTAAAAAGTAGAGTTCATTCCTAAAAGTCCTTGTATTAAAACCTGAAAGCTGTATTTATCTTGAGAGTTCGTACCAGTCTTGTGCCTATAAACTATTGTAGTAATATTAAAAACTTTTCAGACTGAAATTTCACTTTTTCACTTGACAATACGTGATGATTGAGTACTCGTATGTCAGTAAAAACGGGCTCTAACAAAATATCAAAGGGGTAGCATCGTTTTCAGGTTACATTTTAAGCACACAATCAAAGAGGATGTTACCGAGAGATTCTATTTTGGAGTTGGCAATCCAGACTTCATTTTATTTATAAAAATGAAAATATACAGAAGAAACGGTTAAATCCCATAAAGTAGAACACTCCTACCACAAGGTACTAACCCAGAAGACTTTTAGAAACCCATGAGCTATTACAGCTCTGTTAAATCTGTATTATATTGTGAAATATTTCCCAGCTTGGTGATTGTTGTCCCTGTCTTTTATTAGCCCAGCAACTCCAAGCCAGTGATCGTGGATCACAAGGAGAAGTTTACAGAACTGCCAGTTACTGGGGGCATGGAGGGAAGAACACAACTACCCCTCCACGAAGCAACACCCTCCCCGTTCGCACTATCCGGGTTCTCCCTAGATCTGCTCCAGCGATATCCAGGCACCTGAGAATGAGGAATTACCACAGTTAAAAGTATTTGGTTTTGATTTAGGAATATACATCTACCCAAATGAGATGAGCACACCTTCGTGATGCATAACCATGGAGTGAGACAAGCATGAGGCAAGAAATTTTTGACATTTAAGTGAAAGGAATGTCAAGATTGCTGCTACCTGTCTGATCTAGGCTAGATTTTCAGCACTTCAAGTTACCTCAGATATCCACAGAGCTCATTCAGTTGAAATCTTCAGGAAATATTTCTTTTTTCAATCAGTAATATATATCTCTCTAGGAAATGAGCTCATCTACAAAACATACTCAGAATCCTCCCCGTCACGCTCACCAGATGCAACTGTCCTGTGCTACTGAAGACTGAAGAAGTGCCTTGATATTAAAACAAAACAAAACCACAAGTAAAACTAGCGCAGGCTGCCCAGGGCAGCGGTGGAATCTCCATCCCTGGAGGGATCTAAAGGCCGTGTAGATGTGGTGCTTGGGGACACGGGTCAGTGGTGCCACTGACGGGTTAACGGTCAGACTCAACGGTCTTAAAGGTCTTTTTCCAACCCGAACGATTCTATGACTCTGCCTCCCAAGTGTTTATACGTTAAACTGGACGCATTTAAGTCAGACTGCACGTGGGCATCTATCGGAAAGTTTATCACTGCTGACATGGCTGTAATTCTGTGTGCGCAAAGACAGGCAGGAGCCAGAGGTGCCACTGAGGACGTCCCACCCGTCCCAAGCTGGGCTCTGTGCGGCACATCGCTGCCCGCCCGGCCCGTAACGCGGCCGAGAGAGGAACAGAATAGGTCAAATAAGCATTTGCATACAGTGACTAATGGGCAAGCAGATACAGTTATCTTACGGGGCGTAGTCTGCAAAAATAATAACCGCCGATGGATGAAATCATCAGTTTGATATTTTAAGCACAAAGCCCAAGTTTACTGGAATTTCTATGCCAAAAGTACAGGGAAAACGTTCTGTTTGTCTATAGCGTAAGTGACTCATGATTTTATTTTTTGTTTTAAACACAAAATTAACAGTTGGTGCACAGTTCCGTCACAAAGACACGGAGGTAAAAAGTGCAAATGCTTTGAATCCTCTTTCCAAGCGCAGTTCAGACCTGGTATACAGACATCGCACATTTGACAACGGTTTTAAATCTTGAAGAAATTTAATATGAAAATGGGAAGTCTTTATCAAGGGCTTAGTTACCTCATCCTTACTTAGTTAAGTACGTTCTATCTGGTCCCACAGAGGTTCTTGAACACACATTTTGTGAAATGCACAGGAGGACGTTACAAATGACTTTCGCTCCTCAGCTGAGCTTTAACACACGTGCGATGGTGTGTGGCTAACATTGTGCGTTAGAGCTCGCCAAGGGTTAGGGCTGGGCCTGCCGCTGTTACTGCTTGCCCTCTATTTTATATCTAGTATCTTCAAACACATTCTCTTTAATCTTCATTTTGATGCATACACTACAATATTCCTTGGAAAACCTCCTACTGTAAAGCTGTTGGTTCATCATTCACAAAAATTTCAAAGAGTTTACACATGAACAGTGAAAACTCTACTCAGGAGTTTGCTGTAAAGCTTTAGTACACGCTAATGACTCAAAACGTTTGGAACTCAAGGAATTACCTTTGTTTGGTCTCCCAGCTCTCCACGTGTTTGACTTTCTGACTGGGTTCCTGTTTTTTCCCAGCCTATTTTGTTCCCACTGACATGGCTGCAGGATGACATGAAGAAAAACATTGTATTAAAGTGCTGTTTAAGATACAGTGAGATAAATCCTTGCTGACTGTTACTGCAACTACGGGCTAGAGACTCTGATTTTAAGGCACGTTGTACGTATTAGAAAAGTCAATTTTTAAGTCTCTTCAGGACTTTAAGACCAACATTTACTCACTTATACTATGTCAACACTTGGATCGTATTTAAAAGCTGTACAACGACTAAATAACGTTCATGCAGGTAAAGTTCTGGACTGAACTCAAAATAATTAATTTTGCCTCATTTAGAAGATTTCTTCAAACTGCAATATAAACGACACTGCCTAGATTTGAGTTTCTAAATTTCTGAAGAATTTATTGCATAAAATGCATGAAGGCAACGCTCTCAAAAATGCTGAAAAACACCTTATAAAGCAGGTACCACCTCCAGTTCTGCACTTGAAGGAAGCTATACAAACTTACTTGATTCACTCAGCAGAACACACGGTAACATTTAAAGTTGGTTAAGACTGCACCAAAAAACCCGAAGTTTGAGCCAACACGCTAATTGTAGACACATTCAGCATTTAACAGCCAGTAGTAACACACTATTACACGTGACTTCGGACTTTCAGAGGCAGTCACAGACCTGCTGAAGCCTCAGGCTTTGACTCTCACGCCATTAAGCCACTCTGCCTAACGAGACAAAGGTAAACACAAACTGCCTCCGTCTGAATTTCCTTTCTGTAGGTCAGGGAGCGGTAATTAAAAGAAAGTCTGCGCAACTTCACTGCCCACGACAGCCACAAGCGCTAGCAGGAGTCAAAGACTTTTGCAGCGAACGAGGCACATTGGTAGAAGAAAAACTAATTTCAATAGAGGAAAACCAATTTCACTGCCACTTTGCTGCCTGCAGAGCTCGTTGGTGAGGACTCTTTAGTCGCTGCCTTGAACAGTGAATTTCGGACGGCCACATCATGTTTCTTTGCAAGGCCACGTTATCCCCAAAGAAGTATAAATGCGACACATGCAGTGAAGTTTCACAGCTTTTAGCAATAGGAATTTTAATAAATTATACTGTGATTTTGGAATATTTCTTTTACACAGAGTAAAGAACTCAAAGGCTTTATGACATTTACTAAAATCTCACTCTCCCCTCCTTTCAATAAAGCATAAGGGCAGAAGTGAAGAAACACCCAACCTTATTTAGTTTTGGATTTCTGCTTGTAAATGAACAAGACGACTAGAGTGAACCATGTCTGTTTACAGTCATCGTGACCTAAATATATTTTTTTAAGGTCTATCATACCATTAATTTGTAGGTTTCTTTCTTTCAGGATGCTGGTGAAAGATTTTGAAAATAAATTTATTTTAACAGAAGCTGAGCAAAAAAAACTTACTTCACTGCACCGCCATTGCCTTCATCATTGTCGGAGGACGAAGATGTAGAAGAGGCAGGAAAATAGGTTGAATCCACGTGATTGGGGCTCCCACTCTGAGCTGGATTTATTGGAGAAGATCGTTCATACAATGGTGTATGTTTTCCTTCGTGAGGAATGTTACTGTAGCTGTTCTGCTCAGAAAGGCTTTTTCCTCCTGTTTCCAAGGTGATGGCTGGCTCAGAGAGACTATATGGGTATGGACCCTGACCTTGGGCCCCACCCTGATTGGACATCTGCTGGGCCTAAAATAAAGCGATCTTTCTTCAGTGAAGACAAGAAAAAGGCTTCTCTTTTAAAACAAGATGCATCAGTTCACCAGGCGGCATCTTCCGGACACACGGATTAAATCTCAGCCACCGGGGACACCCACAAAAATTGTTCTACCCGAGTCTGAAGCATCGCTGTAGTTCCAGACTTAAAATTCAATCGGTGAATGCCCACACCGAAAAACGTAAGAGATATCTTTCCCATCTAGACTTTAATGGCATGAGTAGGGCAGGTTTCTCCCAAGGAGAAGAGCAGAGGGCTGTACTTACCACAGGTTTTGCTTGCAGTGAGGTCTGTGGAATGTTAAGCATCTGAGAAGGAACATATGGTGGCACTATCCCTGGCATACCAAACTGATTTGGTCTGGCTGCTGTGTTGCACACAGGAAGAGGAAAAAGAAGAAAAAAAGGAAAAAAAAAAACCACAACAAAACAAAACAAGAAAAAAAAAGACACTCATGAAAACACTTGCTATTTGACACAAATGTTACCCTCTTTATCCCTTTGCTTCTACGGTCTATTTATTCTCATTGTTAGTATGTTTTCTAGCACACCTTTAAGTCTGTTTTATCAATTTTTGCCTTTTAATAAAAATATTTGTAGCCTGTGAAGCCTATTTCACTTGTCTTACCTTTCTTCCCTTCTTTGTACCTCTCACTACCACAAATTTCTATTCTACCAGGGAATCAAAGGAAGCTTAGAACTAAAAAAGCCCAAGAGACATAACAATGAGGCCAGCAAAGACAATGCCACGCAAGCAAGTAATGCTGGCAGTTCCTGATATTTGACCTACAGCAGCCTTAATGCCCTTTAATTCATGTCTTCAAATGTAAATAAAGACATCTTCCCCCCCCAAGAAAAAGAGGAGGAAGAATTTGTATCAGTGTACCAGTATGGTAACCGAAAATCTTTAGAAAATGTCAGCTCAACTTCTGTTTTAATGTTAGGAATGAGGTATGTGGAATAAACGCTTGTGATCACACCGTTAATCTGTAAGCCTGGAGAACAACCTGCAAACGTGTGGCTGCAGCATAAGCAGGTATGTTACAACAGCGAAAACCCAAATACTATAAAGGGATTTCTAAAACACATCTGGTAAGTCCAGTGGGAAACGGGAAATATATTTTATGGACTAGAAGTAGAAAAATCTCTTCAGGAATGGAACTGTTCACCAGATTTCAGTTGCTGACAGTCCCCTACTCTCAAGCATCCTAATGCTCAAAACGATGCAGCAAGAGCTAAGGGAAAAATTGGTCCAGCTTGTTCTCCTCTTTTTGGGAAAAGAACACAACCTCTGCATGCATTCTACGAACACCTTCTTCTGAGACATCATATGCCATGAAAAGCTGCCAGAGAACATTGACATCTTTCTAAGACAGTACTAAGAAGAGTATTTGTGATTTAGGGCTCTGCCAGAAACAGTTAAAAGGAAAAGCCTTATGTCTTTACTCACTTACCCAGGTAATGTGGTGGATGAAATGGCATAGGTTTATTAGTTGCTGAGTAATAAGCAACCGCTCTCTTAAATCGAGTAACTTTGTCATCTGTTCTAGACTAAAATAAAAGAAAGGTCTGTCAGGAGCAAATCCAGGCGCGTCATTTATAGGTCAGCACCGTACTGTGAAGAAGTTACCATACACCACGTCACACCCAGTATTAACACCTACGGACCCATGAGGATTAGAGCACTATTCCACCAGGAGAAATATTACGTCAATCCCTGAAAGGTAAAACTTGAAAATCCCACTTTCGGGTACCACTGATTGTCAGTCACGGGGCACAACGCCAGACTACAACACTCCTTTGGTTGTCAAGAATTTAATTTTTGAGCACTGAGGGTAAACCTGGTTCTTTTATCTTTGGAAACCATGGAAAGAGAAATTAGGGTATCTAAGACAACACATACACCAACAGTTTGCTGTTATCCATGGATGCAAAATACCGTTTATACAGAACGCGGTTTATCAACACAAATGTATGGCACAAGTGGTTTATAAAACCCCAAACAACAAGCCAGCATTCTGTTTTATACTTTACCTGTGAATGCTGAAAAACATCTTTTGCTATGGCATCCAAATCGGTGGTGTCCTGAATATTACGGACGTAGTCAGCTACGGCTTTGATCACTACGTCACAAGGCGGTAAAACTAACTGGTGAGCACGTACCTGTGCAAACAAACATGCAGGCCAGTAAGAAATGACAGGGTAGCCCAAGATATTTCAGTTACACAGCAGAGAACTTTATTTATTTATTTATTGAAAAAGATATTCAACAAATTCCACGTTGTCAGATTCAGCACCTACACATTTTTTGCGCCTCCCACCCTGTTTTTCCATGCTTCACCTTAAATGACTTATTTTTCATCTACGGTATAGTTACAGCTATGCGAAACGTCACCTCTCTGTAAATATTTGCTGGTTAAATATCAGCTCCAACATCAAACAAGGGCAACAGTGTTAATTATGTTACTGCTTTCTAGTGTAAAATGCTTTATCCAACACATATACATCCCTTTTATATGTATCTATACACATATACACCAGAAAATATTTCATTTTGACACAGTTTATATTCTGAATGTGAAGTGATATAAGAACTGATCAAAGAGATCCACTAGGAACAGAAAGATCTCTATGTACACAGAAAAGGCAGGATGTGAAAAACAAATAGAGGAGTATCTCAAGGGAACTTATTTTCAACATTCTACAGAAATCGGTCTCAAAGTCATTATTTGAAGATTACATCTTTTAATAATCAGAGTTTTCAAATTTTGCGTATTTCATTATCCGTTATCAGAACATACTCATACAGCTTCACATTACATATAACATGTCAGGCAAGAAATTATTTCTATTTCTTACATATTACACGTCCACAAAGAAAGATGTATGGATTTCTCTCATGCTATGATGTAGCATAATTACTTCCTCTTTCACACATTTCACTATCAACATGGTTATACTGCTGGTTTCTCTTTTTGCAGACACCGAGGGAACTCTTTCAGACAACTCCATTGATAAAATACATTTCAATATTCCGGCATTAAAAGAATTGAGGTTTCACCATCCAGTGACAGATGTGTCCAACCTCCCATATTCACCAACTATTTAAAGGGGGTAAGAAATACTCACTGAAACACATGCTAAAAATTTCCTGGAGTTTATGACCTGAGCCCACGGTACAGTCTACTCAGGACGTTAAGAAAAGGATGAACACCCATTACAGAATCACAGAATCATTAAGGTTGGAAAAGCCCTCTAAGGTCATCAAGTCCAACCATGAACCCAACACCACCATGACCACTAAACCACGTCGCAAAGTGTCACGTCTACATGTTTTCTGAACACCTCTCGGGGTGGCGACTCCATGGGTTCACTGGTCACTGACTCAGGCTACGGGTTCAAAAAGAATCACTTCGGACTTTGTAGCAAAACACTTCCCTTTGCAGTAAGAAGAAAGAGCAGCTGGAACTTTGTGGGATGATGTCCCAAGCCCCTGCAGATGAAGCACCCACAGCTCATGGACTACCAGCTGCAGACAGGTTCTAGACTCAGCTCAGTGGCCTGATCCCTTCTCACATCCACATACAGAAAGGAGGGAACGGGACAGCCCTAGAAACCCAGGACTTCCATCTCAACACTCTCAACAGGCTCCTCCTGAAAATAAACTGGAGATTATTAAGAAAAGTGTGTCCAGCAGGGCTAGGGAGGTTCTCCTGCCCCTCTGCTCTGCCCTGGTGAGACCACACCTGGAACAACGTGTCCAGTTTGGGGCTTCCCAGTTCCAGAGAGACAGGGACCTACTGGAGAGAGTCCAAGGGAGAGCTGCGAGGGGGATCAAGGGACTGAACATCTCTGCTGGGAAGAGAGACGGAGAGACCTGGGGCTGTTCAGCCTGGAAAGGAGACGGCTGAGAGGGGATTTATTGACGTAGAGAAATATCTGAGGGGTGGGGGTCAAGGGGAAGGGGACAATCTCTGCCCAGTGGTGTCCAGCAATAGAACAAGAAATAACGGGTTTAAGTTAGAACATGGGAAGTTCCACCTCAACATGAGGAGAAACTTCTTTACCTGACAGAGCCCTGGCCCAGGCTGCCCAGAGAGGGTGTGGAGTCTCCTGCTCTGGAGACTTTCCAACCCGCCTGGACGCCTTCCTGTGGGGCTGCCCTGGGTGACCCTGCTCCGGCAGGGGAGTTGGACTAGATGACCCTTCCAACACCCAACATTCTAGGATTCTGCGATTATCAGCAAACAATTACAGGAATTGCTGCTCTTACAAGTGCTGCGTGATCCTATGTAGGGTACAGAAACCTCAGGCCAAGCAACCACGACGGGCCGGTGCGAAATGAGCAGCAGGGCGCAGCGCTGGTAGCTGGGTGTGAAGAACTACTCCATCGCAGGCAGAGTCTGTTACCTTCTCTCCGTGCCGCAGGGCGTGCACGCGCGGAGGGCCAGGAAAGAGGTCTCCAACTGCGTGTCCTACATTTTAGAGGGTGCCTGCAGAATTTCTAAAAATTCTGTCTGGAATCTCTGTAAAATTCTGGAGCACTCTGTCTGTGCCTACAGGGGCAGCTACACTTTCGCTTTAACAGGTTTTAATCTGCCTGTTTGCAAAATTCAGCGATTCAGGACTTGAGAGATCATTATTACAATTGAACAGTTCTATTTTTTAAGAGATGAGAAAACAGAGGATAATCTTTACGCTTGCGTTCTACACAGAGGTATGACACTGTACTAGAAAATACTGCAATTCTGCCTCGTCAGAAAAGTTTACACAAAATTCTGATTAACGCTTTATTAGTTGCATCTTTGAAACTTTAAAATCTGTACCACAACCTCTGTTTATTTTACATGGAGTCTACCACATGTAATTATTTTCTTTCCTGCTCTTATTTGATTCCCTCAGGGAATTTCTTAGACTGCCTTCTTTCTATTTCGACCATGGAATTTTTGCCCAGATTCCCATTTTTATTAATTTCTTTCTCCTAACATCTACTTTTTACAAATGACAGGATATTCATTCTACACCCGGTGATTCTCTACGAGAGACGAGCTCCACGTTTTATGAGCCTAAATTAAGAACAGTTTAGTGTAGTTGAGAACTGTTAAGAACTGTTAAGAACTGTTTAGTGGCACAGCAATTACTTCCATTTCAGAGAGTAAATTCCGCATTTTCACTGCATCCTGAATATACACCACGATACCAAATGTAGCTCACGTCCGCACGTAAGCTGACGGTCCCGAATACCGGTGACAAAATTTTGCACCCCATCTGCAGGCAGAAGCGATAGATTTTCGTCTTGCTGCTAACCCAAGCGGTTTGAGGAACAGCTCCCTTTGGATGTGTACAGGTAACAGTTACCCATCTCCAAAGCAGCTGGATCACAGCGTGGCTGCGTCACGTCAGCTGCGCTCTCTGCAGAGCCCCTCGGAGAAACCCCGCGTTACCACCCAGCGCCGCAATCGTTGCTTGAAAAATCCAGCGGATGAAAGGAGTCAGCGATCTATCATCAGTTTTACGTGATCTCCCAAGATAGTAATATTTAACAAACGAGAAGCAGTTAGCATCAGGAGAAGACATCACAGCACTCCAGCACCAATATTCGGCTCTGGCTCTAAAAGTATGAAACTCAAGGGAGAAATATTAAGGGCTTACTACAGGTACTGTCGCCTAGTTCAGCTGCTTTTAAATTAAAAGGACCTAAAAAGGCCTAAAAGACCCCACCGGAGCAAATTCTTAATTCCTTAAGTGAGATCTTCTGAAAGTATGTCTTACAGATTTAGAGACATCTATATTGGGATTTTATTTTCTTTTACTCTATTCGAAGGCATCCAGTCCAGATGTGAGAATTGTTTCAAAAGGAAAAATGTCATGACCCACACAGAAATCAGAAATGAAAAGTGGAGAAATAAGATGGCTTTTTCTCTTATTAAAGAAAATATTTCTATTCATTTTAGAACCTTCCAGAAATGCAGAATTGTAGATTTTGTCCTGAATTATAAATCACATTTCTAATACTGTGTGCATTAAAATACAGGCTAAGTCTTACTAAGTATTAAAAGCAGGAAAAATTAAGATGTAACCTCTAAAGCTACAGAGAATCTGTTCATGGTTCAAACTTACTTTTAGCTGCACACAAAGCATTTCAGAGCAAAATCAGCATCATATTCTGCCAATTTCTCATGAAGAGATTTCTTCTTAGAAGCTATTTTTCCCCTTTATCCTCTACAGAAGAGTTTCAGAGAAACAACAACATGGAAAATCAGTTTTGGGAAGGCAAACATGGAGGTGGAGCACACTTGGAAGTGATGAGGCTAGAAAGCATGACACCTGCAAACGGCACAGTTTCTTTGCTCGTTGTAAAAGTTCTATTTCAATTCCGTGACAGACCATTGACAAAAAAAAATTACAAGCAAGCTATTGATGTACTTTTTGGATTAAGTGGGGAAAGCAAATTAATTCTACTCAGGTATTTGTCAAAACGAGAGGCACCGGCCAGCATTACAAGTCCAGAAGCTACAAGATGAAACCATCTTGGTTTTGACAAAAATAGGCTTGGAGAAAAGCTTTGTTGAAAGAGAATCAACCCACACACATGTAACTCCAAGGGATTATTAGGATACTGTAGAAGGGACCCAAGTGTCCTGGTTTGACGCTAAGTTACACTGGGGAAAAGCTCCCCAGTTCTGGGGTAACTCCAGTTGCCCATCATCTCCAGGAAGAAAAGCCTTTCAAAGCTAATCAACTCGAGTACCAGCATCTGCTGTTGTGCCTGCTGGAAACAGATAATCAGTTTAGTTTTATTTTCAAACCATGAAAAAAAGAGACCTCGAAAATTCAGTTACTGTGAGGTGACAAAGAGGAAACTTTTTCTTTTTTCACTGGCAAGAGAAAAGGCTGAAGATATGATGAAGAATACTACAACAAATTGCCTGGGTTTTGTTACTTTTGTCCAGTAATTTCTATTACACATCACATCTCATCTGTTTCAATCTTGTATCAGCCTTTCAATGCTAAAAACACTTAATCTCATGAGCTTGTAGTGTATTCGATGCAATGACAAGCTTTCTGAGGAGGCAAGAAGCTCCCTGAATATCTTAAAATCCCCTCAAACCAGCAAAGCTCAGCTTTGATCAAGTTATTCAATCAGAAATGCTCTCTCCTCCTCCCTCCATCCTGGCTGGGAAACAGACCTCCTCCCTCTGCGTGTTGTGGGGATAACGAGAACACGCCTAACGCGGAGATCGTTTGCTAATAACTTATATATATAGGACTCCAGAAAACTGAATCTAAACAGAGGGACAAAAACCGTGTCAGAAAGCAAAGGGGAGAGCAGAAACACCAGCAAAGGCACGACACAGACTTCACACGAGAGAACCTGCGTGACAATCCCACACACCGCCAGGAATCAAGGGACGAGCCTTGAGAATTTCAACAACTACAGAAGGAAAGTCTCGCACCTGGGCAGCAATAACCCCTGGCTGAGGTTGTGCCAAAAGCGATCTGGGGCTCTGGGAAGACTGCGAACTGAACGGGAGCCAGCAAGGTGTCCCGGCAGCAGAGAAGAGCAGCTGCACCCTGGGCTGGGAAGCGGGAACGTAGCCAGCGGAGCAGGGGATCTCACTCCTCAGCGCTCGTGAGATCACCTCAAGAGCACCGCGCTCGGTTCTGGGCTCGAGCCAGACGTCAGTAAAGTTGAGCTAGTTCTGCAGGAGGCCGTCAAGACAGTTAAGGAGTCGGAGCACTTGCTCTATGAGGAGAGGGAACGGGGCTTATTCAGCCTGGTGAAGACAAACTTTGGAGTTATCTTCCAGTTCCTACATAAAGGGCATCAAAACCAGGCTCTTCACAGGGGCACGCTGTGGAAGAACGAGACAGCAGGTGCGGCCTGAAACAAGACGGGTTCAGACTGTTTGCAAGGCAAAACATTTTTACCGTCGGGACTGTCAAACCACAGAGCAGGCTGCCCAGACAGGTTGTGCAGTCTCCAACCTTGGAACCTTTTGAGAGCAGTCTAGGCAAAGCCGTTAGCAACCTCTTCTGACCTCAAGCTGACCACGTTTTTAGCAGACGGCTGGACCAGATGACTTCCTGAGGTCCTTTCTGATCTGCATCATCCCACGATAACCCTTTGTATAAAAACAAAACCCAAACCACAAACAAAACCAGACAGACACTGACTTTAAGCAGGTCTTTATGAGGGCCACTCCACGGTACCTGAGCAGCAGCGCACTAGCTAAGCACCTACTTAGCATATTAGTCTCCCTCTGGCAGACACCTATTGAAAAAGAGAAAGAGAATTTCCTAGAGCAATTCAGAGAAGGAGCCTAGCCTGCATATTTTGGATTGCTTTCTGGAAGCATCTCTTTCTGCTGAGAAGAAACAACCAAGGAGATCAGGTTTCCCTGAATACTCTTCAAAAAAGGGAAATTGCATTAAGACTTGTTTCTAGGGTTACTTTGCGAATAACGAGTCAGCGCTTCTTCAGTGGTGCGTGCTCCCAAATCGGTGCTAATTCATTCCTGAGATAAGAAGCCGACCTCCCTAATATTCTGATGGTATCACACATACTCTGGAAGCTCCACGCTGGAACAAGCCTTCTCAGAAGAACTGAATGGTCTTTATCTTCAAAAAATAAATCCCAAAGCACACAAACAAAAAAGAGTAATAATGCTAGTTTCCAGATAGGGGCTGGCAGCCAAATCACTTCTCAGGAAGTGTGACAACTCATTTCGTGTTCCAGCTTCTGATTCAGGTGGTCATTTCAGTGAGCCCTGCTCTCAGCCAGGTGGCAGGACGCAAGCACAGGTCCCCACATTTATTAGACGTGGTTTCTGTTTACACAGGGGCAGAGAGATGAGATCCTAACTCAGAACAGCTTGCAGTGCCAGTTTTTTTCTTTCCCTTTTGCAGCACAAGCAGTTCAAATCACTTGCATTGGTCTAATTTAACAGCTTTGCTGAGCTGATGGTCGTTGTTGTTGCGGGCTCTTTTCTGACCGGCGTGCCTTGTCATCCAGCATGTGAAGATACTGCCCTGACTTAGGTTCATTTCCTCTGAGATGGGAAAAACTGATTCTTAGTGCAGGTTTCCATTTCCCTTCCTTCTTCTCGTTTCTACTCAGCTGTTCCCAGATGAATGCACCACTTTCGTGTCCCTCTTGAAAACAGAGGAACAGGTTCCTCAGTTTTGCTTTTTTTTCACCTCACTGTTGCCACCTGAGCAGATACAGCAACTCTCTACTGGGGAGGAGTGACAGTTTCTATTCTAAGTTGCACCTTTCAACTGGTGAACTCTCTCCTAGGAAGAGTAACCATTTTGCTACATCATAACAAAAGATTGAGAAAGAACACAGAAACTAAACTGCCCAATATTAACTGTCACAGTTCTCAGGAAAAGCAACAAATCAGTTCACTGGGAATGGAATCTGTTGGCTTTGATGCTCCACACCATATTGCCTTAGATACAAAAGATTAAAATCTTTACACAGCGAGAAAAAAGTTTTTGCGATCCTGAGTTGAACGAGGGGTGGAATTAGAGAGCCCTTGGTTCCCGAGTATGGAGAATACTCAGTAGTAACTCCGAACAGACACAACAAAGCAAAGTTTGTAAGTTTAGCCCAGGGAACATCCTGGGCAACCACAACAACTTCCCCCCCCATTTCCAGTTCTTGTGACAGCTTGCACTTTTTGCAACCGTTCTGAAAAACTACTACTGCTTCATGGGGCCAATACAAGCGTGTCTTTTAATTTTTTTTGAAGCATTCATAAAATGCACAAGAAATAGCACTTTCTGCACATCTGCAATTAACAGAAGAGATCTCCACGGAGAGCGCTGTAACGGCATCACTGACACGCCAGTTTGCCAAATGAAACTAAACTGAATTCATGAGCTACTGAAACAAGTTATAATTTCAAACCACAAGCACTGCTGAAACTGAAGCTAGGCTGTTCCATGGCCAGCAACTACGGAAGATCAGTTTTCTGTAGACTTGTGTCCTTGGTGCTTTAGCCCTTCCTTCTCTCCTCGTGACATCATTATCAGCCAGGAGACAGAAACGCTGCGGTTAGTTTGGGGCTCCGTGCTTAACAAGGGGCCAGCAAGCTGCTGGGAAATAAAGCCTAATAATAATTTGGGTCGTTTTCACTGATAACACAGGATCAGTTTTCCCGAGCCTGTAACAGCCAAACAGGAACGGCTTTTAAATCTCATTGGTCGACAGATTAAACAAATACAAGGAGAACTGGCTAAGACAGCTCTCAGGAAACAAGTTTCATTCTATGATTCATTTCCTTACAATGTCAGCTACAAAGCCCAATTGGTGTTTTCACTGAAAATGCAAAGCTAGAAGAAGCACAGATGACAAGTATCTATTTTTTTTTTTCCAGTAAAGTAATTCTGTACATATTTAAAAGGCTTTGCAGAAGGTCTGGGTGTCTGAAGTCATATTCTTAACCGGCTGTAAAACAAGGCTACTCAACCTAAAATACAGACAGGTATTTCGAACATCAGAAAGCTTGCCAGCCACTTTCAGGGAAGTCCTACACTTTAACCTTTTTAGTAAAAAAATGTAAATGCAGGCACACTTTTTCAGCCTTTCATTTGTTCATCTCAAGTGTTCCAAGGAAGCAGCAAACACACATGCGTAGTTTGTTCTTCCACTACAATGTGCTGACACTTACCTTCCTAAACACGGGAGCAGCAGCAAAATAAAAAAATCAGATTGTTACCACTGTTCGCTAAGCAAGGCATGAGCAAGCCTGAGAAACTCCGCTGAAAGTTTTAATCTGTTTTTGAATTCTATCTTCACCAAAACAGTTACAATTTTTCAACGCTGCTAAACTTTTGGAAGAGGAGGGAAGAAAAAACCAAAACAACACACCCAATTTTGTTGTACATAAAACAAAACAGTCCTAGAGATTTTACAAAAATCAAACCGATTAGCTGCGTGGTGCACATTAGGAGAAAGGGAAAAGGTTATGTCTATTGATGTAGAAAGGAATGTCACTATTACTCCATTCTCCAATGTGCCCAGTTTCCCTTTTATAGCTTGGCAGATGCACAAAGCAAGTGTGTTGAAGCAGCAGAACAGACATACTTAAAACAAAGAGCATCAAATGCAAATTATGTGTCTCAAAAAATAAAAATAAAGTAGTCTACTGAAGGCCACATGAGCTTTCTCACGTTGGAGAATACGCTGCACATTTCCACTTTCAGGAAGTACAGAAAACTGACTATTACGCACAAACGCAGGTCAGCAGAAAATGAACCAATACAGTAGGAAGATACTCAGCTAATTATTTTTGACAGTTGAAAACCACGACTAAACGAGAAGTTCTCCTCTTAAAAAAAGAGGAAAAAGCTACGTTCTCAAAGGCAAACCACGCTGAAGCTACATTAGCTCATGGAGCTGAAGGGCACGGAGGGGGATCACAAAGGCCAAGTTTAGCTTTGTAAGGCTAATTGCTCCCACATATATCCTCCGCAGGCAACAGGGGGAGACGGGGACACCAGAGGGTGACCCAGAACAAGAGTCTTGCAGAGCTGCTGTGAGTTAAACTATTACACTGCCCTGATTAACTGTTACGATTGATTGTGGCTTAATTGCTGGTAGTTAGATGAAATCTGTACCTTAAGTGAAGCTAGTGGATGTTCTGGACCAAGTAAACTCCAATGAAAGGAAGCCAAATCTTCATCAGGTAGAATATGATTACCTAGAACATAATGCAGACATTTATTTAAGCACCCCGTAAAACGTTACGGACTGTTTCTACATCCAGCAAAACAAATTTGCAATCGGTCCTTAATTCCCAAGTGATAGGATTAACAGAGAGACGAAACTTGTTACTCCAGGAAAAACCTCATTAGCGTGCTGCTGCTGCAGCGAGATGCGCTTCCCTCTGCTCCCCTCTGCCCGGGGAGCACTCTTCCGTGAAACTCAGCGCGTTTCCTC